TTCGAACCCGCGACCTACAGATTGCGAGTCGAGCGCCCTAACCACCTGGCCATGCCGGGGCCCCAGTCACCCTTAGCGGAACCAAAGTGAAAATTTAAATTGTTAAGAGATAAAAAATCAAATTTTCTAAAGAAAAAAACACCAATAAAAAAGACTTTTAAATTGAAATAAAGTGTAATTTCGTCTCAAATTTAAATAATCTGATAATTACCAAAAAAAAAAGAAGAACATACATTGATGTTAGTTTTATAAAAAAACAACAACAATTATTATTAGAAATAATTTGCTCGTAAATAAAATATAAGGTAATTATTTAAAGTATATCTAAAAACATAAACACAGTCACCTTAATTGCTTGTAAGACGTTCTGCCTGATTTCTTGAATTTTATCTTTCCTTTCTCTGAAGAAAGAGCAAACAAACAAACAAATAAAGAAAAACATAACTAGAAAATGTATGTAAATTCTGCATTACGTAACCAATAACAAAAATATTTAACAAGTAAAAAAAGATGACCGTGTTAAGATTTAAAAGAATACAATACAGTTTATATGAAATTTTATTGTTTATGAATACGTACATCATCGAATTGCCTAAAGACCTTTGATTGAAAGATATAAATGGTTTTCGTTAATTGAATCTAATGGTGACACAGGTGTCTAAGGTACATCAGTCATTTTCCTTAACATGTCGTATATATATAAACGTTCTTATACATCAAAGTTGTTCGATAAATTCCAATTCTAATCTTAAGTGGAAAAAACTAACTGAAATACGATGTCTATTAAAGGCTAGCAATTCGAATGGTGCAAATTTGTTCAGCTCAACTAATTGGACCAACTAAGCCTTAACTGCCATTACTGTACCTAATCAAAATTAACCATGAAAAATAGCATGAAAAAGGGGGAAATCGTCGAAAACGTCGTATTTGGAATGTTAATTGGCGAAATTAGATCTAACGAGTGGAAATACCTTGTATAAAATTGAATTTCCATACGATTTTTAGTTGTTTTTGGGCCTTTTTCAAATGATTTTTTTATTAGTATTTTTAAACTTTACAATCTCAAAATAAAAATACTAGCTGACTTTTTTATGTTCAATGCCCCTTTCCAGCGTTAGATCGTGCAAGCAATTTTAAAATTACCAGATTGGTTGACAAGGCAAGAATGCTGCTAATTAAATAGAACAATAGATCGTTCAGTAAAATATATATATATTAAACTACAAAAAACAAAAAACGTTTAAACTGTAAGCTTGTTTTCTAGTGTTAGAAGAAAGTGACTCTTCGAAAAGTTCCTCTGTGGCTCAGCGATAAGCTCCAGGTTATATAAGCTAAAGATCGGGGTTCGATTCCAGCAACAGACGGTGTGACGGGGATTGGAACCTGCGACCCACATTACACAGTGACTTAGGAACGTTTAGTATTATAATTTAGCTTAAAAATGAACAACGTAAAGCTGCAATATTGAAATAATATATATTAGTATTATAGATTAGTATAACGTAGAAGCAAATGTGCAAATTTAGAACAAATGTTTTTATCAATTCATTCGAAGTTAGTTTTCAAACTTGTAGTTTGTATTATGGGAAAGCTGTTAAGGATACTTGCCGCCGACCTCAATTTTGAACTACTGATCAGATGGAAAGCAGCCAGTCAGTAGTCCCTAAGGGGTTGACTGTAGCTCTTATAACGCACCCACAGCTTTAAATGCAGGAAATGTTTTGTGGTATCTCACAGTTTCGAAGTTGTCTCGCCAGCTTTGGGTTTGTTTGTTTGTTTGGAATTAAGCACAAAGCTACACAATTGGCTATCTGTGCTCTGCCCACCACGGGTATCGAAACCCGGTTTCTAGCGTTGTAAGTCTGCAGACATACCGCTGTGCTACTGGGGGGCGCCAACTTTGGAATCCACAGCCTTACGATATGGCCAATCCACGCCCCTTTTCAAACTGATTGGCATTGTTTTCTGTTGTAAAGTATAATCTGGAATCATAACACGTGCTACTTGTCTTAAATTGACTATCATAGAGAATGACAAAACAAATTATAGGGCGTTAGCTGGATTAAGAAAGAAGAAAATAAGTCAGTATTGGATTTGTTGGGAAAATAACAAAAAGAACAAAATAAATATTAATTTCATTTTAAAGTAAAAATATTATGTATAAGTGTGTGAGAAATAGAAGATATAAATAAAAATATATGATCAATAAGATAGTTTGTTGAATTTCGCGCAAAACTACTCGAGCGCTATCTGCCCTAATGCCTCTAATTTTGAAGTGATAGACTAGAGGGAAGGCATTTAGTCAATACCACCAACCGCCAACTCTTGGGCTATTCTTTACTAATAAATATTGCGGTTTACTGTCACGTTATAACTCCCCACATTCGGCGACAGGTTTCGATCCCTCGACCTGCAGGTTGCTGTTATTTTTTGCATTCTGGCCACCTCGGGTAATGAAACTCTGGATTCTAGCGTTGTAAGCCCACAAACTTACCGCTAGCCCACTACTGGTTCGAATAAAACAGATACTCTTTACACACGTGTAATTATAGGTTATACAATTCAGCTTTTATGTTAATTTTCTTAAGAAGTTTAAAATCCCTTTGTCCCAACATTTGTTCCCCAATTAAGTGTATACATCTAGTACACATTTGTGTAATATGTTGGTAAACTAATCTTTCTGAGCTAATTTTTCATGACTTCATTTTTTTAACAACTTTATTATTGCCCGCAAGATAGGACATAGGCTATATTATCGAAGTTCATCATTAAATGTAACATAATGACTTATAAGTTGCAGATGCCGGTTTCAATGGATCTATACTCACATTTCCGAAAATCCTTCTAAGTGTAAAATTTTCATTTGTTTCAAAATTGTCGTTTTTCCGGACTCTCCTGCTCCTACAAATAAAACAACAACGACAGTGTACGTACATATAACACATATATTTATTAGTTCTCATGGTTATTAACTTATACGATCACTTGTGTCTAAGAACTAATTAGTTATTATTACCTTATCATTATTATTATTAGCTATTAATTAATAATTAGTTTATATCTGACGTTTCTGATGCTAATCTGCTGACGTCTTCAGAATGGTATAAGTAGGATATACATTGATATAATTAAAAACAATTACCTTCATACAAATACTCTGCAAGTACACATTAATTGTTTGAATACTGCATTAAACATTTTATTTTACATTTAGTATATCCGGAAATACAAACATTATATTTTACATTTAGCATATCCGGAAATACAAACATTATATTTTACATTTAATATATCCGGGAATACAAACATTCTATTTTACATTTAGTGCACCCGGAAATACAAACATTATATTTTACATTTAGTATATCCGGGAATACAAACATTCTATTTTACATTTAGTGCACCCGGAAATACAAACATTATATTTTACATTTAGTATATCCGGGAATACAAACATTCTATTTTACATTTAGTGCACCCGGAAATACAAACATTATATTTTACATTTAGTATATCCGGGAATACAAACATTATATTTTACATTTAGTATATCCGGGAATACAAACATTATATTTTACATTTAGTATATCCGGGAATACAAACATTATATTTTACATTTAGTATATCCGGGAATACAAACATTCTATTTTACATTTAGTATATCCAGAAATACAAGCATTTTATTTTACATTTAGTATATCCGGGAATACAAACATTCTATTTTACATTTAGTACATCCGGAAATACAAACATTATATTTTACATTTAGTATATCCGGGAATACAAACATTATATTTTACATTTAGTATATCCGGGAATACAAACATTTTATTTTACATTTAGTATATCCAGGAATACAAACATTCTATTGAGCAGGTGTATTATAAATTATGTTTAAACTGATGTGAAAATCTTATTTGCAGAGGTAATAATACTATGTAACAAGTTTCTATTTCCAAAAGACAACAACAAAAATTAACGGAAATATAATTTGTTATTTTAATATCAGGTATTTTTCAAAGGTAATATTATTAGTTTTAGCTGGAAATTACAAGATGTGTTAAACAGGGTGTAAAAATTACACTTTACGTTACAGGCACACCACAGGTCATTGCAAAATCGATTAAGTTGACGAGGGTTGGGGAATATAGCTTTTTATTATAGAATAACCACATATACCCCATAGAAGTAATTTTGTTTTGTTCATTCCACGTGATATAACGATCAATTAGCCCTTTACGCTTTCAATGTTTAAGTGTAGTTAACTTGTTCTGGAGTATCCAGGTGCAATTACGCCTCTAGTCATCTAATACGCATTTACGCGATCCAATATTCAAACATGAAAGTGCGTAAACGAAATTTATTCCCAAATGGGATATACGAATTTTCACATAAAAACTAAAGTGAAGAATGTAACATATTAGCACGTGACACGTTCTCAATTATTAGTCTATAAATGAGAAGAATATGAAAGTAGGAAACTTTGATGAAATAATTCAGAAAATGTTCCTGTCATTTATAAAATGTATCTAAGGTAATTATTATAATTATAAATGTTACATTTTGTTCTCAGCTTTTCAATATTTTCCCCCTTAGATCGCGAGTTGTTGTTTTTTTTCTTTATTAACAGCAAAGTTATTTTACTAGACAGGTTTAATTAGAAATGTAGTTATTTATTTTGCTAATATATTCTTCAATTCATTCTGTTTGTGTTCTGTACTTCTCTAATTTTCTTTGTTAAATCCTGTCAGCACCAATACTTTCAATTGCTTACTGACTATATTTATTTATGCGACTATATTTATTTCCAATTTTCACTTTCGTTATAATCTTTTAAGTTAAAAAAGTTAACAGTTTCAAAATGAAATTAACTAGTCAACTGCGATTGGCTATTTCATTACTTTTGCATGTTTCTGAAAATGAGATTGTTAACGCTAATAAAGCAGTTTTAAATATCAGTACAGTATAGATTAATTTTTGAATTAGCTTGTAATTAAGGTAATGTATTATCAGAATCCCTTTACGATATTAATTGTAAGAAAAAAATATTAGGCTTTGTTAATTTTGCAAAATCTCAAGTTGTTGAAAGGATATTTAATGAAATACAGTTTTTACGGGAAGAAATACTTCTGAAAGTTATAAAATAAAATAAGTTAATAATTAAAATAGCTAAGAAGAAACGTTGAGCAGTTAAAACAAGGTTTTGTAGCTAAGAAACAATGCTAGTACTTAAGACAGGATAAAGTAGTTAAGATAATGTAAAGTAGGTAAGACAAGGCAAAGTAGTTGAGAAAGTTTTTCTTGCGTAAAACTCCAACGAAGACTGACAAATAGATAATAAGTTATCGTTAGTATCCAGGTTAAAGTTTAACACCAGACGTTCACGTGGACTAACGAGGGCGATACGATACATGCAGCGGCTTCAACGAATTCATTTCAATAAGAACGAGAGTAATCAGAAATATTGCATACCCTCGCCCAGCCGCTCCTTTTCGAGATTTCATGCGTTTTTACTAGATAACGTCAAATTACACCTTTGAAAACTCAGAAAATCCTTCTCAGATCCAGAATGATCAACGATTCGAATAAGTTTTTGTAGTATGATGAGGAGTCTCAGCCATAAAATCACCCATGAAAATCCGATCACACTTTACAGAGTTATTAACCCCAAACTGCGAAAATGCCCTATCTCCTCATTATAAAAAAAATGCTTCAAAGTGATTCACAATCCGTATCCGGATTTTGACCCGGACCAAATATGGAGAGAATTGATTTCCCATCTTGCGTAAAATTTTTGTGTACATCGGTCTATTCGTTTTCGAGATACGCGCGCGGAAACACAGACAAACAGACACATAAACACACACATGAACCTGATTGCAATTGTCTTAGGGTTACTATTTTAGTAATAGTTAGCAAAACGTACGATTGAAAGAAAGCTATAAGTATGCCTACCTAACCTTTAATTTAAAACAAAAACAGAAAGGAAAGACAGTATAAAGCACACAAATAAAAAGATATGTTAGTCTCGAAATATATTTCATCAACGCTTATTACATTTCGAGAGTTTTATATAAAAAATACACCAAACTGTTGGCAAGGTATATTATTCGGTTGTTTCACGGTTTAGTCAGCAAAACCTACAATACAACCCTAATAAAGAAAGGTTAAAAGAAGCGCAACAACAGTTATCCGTAAGTCCAGAAGAAGACTAATCTACACTATGCATACATGTTATATTGCTATACCCAAAACAAGTTAGAGAAGCAGGTAAACGGAGCGATTACTTTAACTAACATCAAGTAACGATGCTCAATTTTTCCATGAATGATAGGATCTAAATGTTATACAGGCACAACCTGGATCACCATAGTGATGATTGAAACGGATAATTAAACGCACAATGGACCATTATGTAACGATGGGCTATGTTCACAACGACGGGTGGATAAAGTAACCTATTACAAACCGATACCTGAAGGATCAGAAAAAGTAGTGCGAAAGAAAATTATGCGCGAGCAACTAGAGTAATGAGTTTAAAATACAGTTACATCATTAAAACCCACGTGATAGGTTTTCAGAAATAGATAATTAAGAAATATGTAAGGTTGGGCGTTAACACTGGATACAGACACCTTACAGAGGTACTCATTGAGTCCAGGTATAATATCATTTCATATAAGCATCTTTTTCATCCTTTCAATCGTGAGAAAATATTCGAATTAACGTTTCTTTATTGAAAACAAGCCAGTTTTTTGTGATACTGTATTGATCTGTTCACATTCAAAAGAGATATACAGATATAAACGGTGTATTAATGACATTATGGATAAAGATGTAAAACATACGAAAATCATTGTTGTAATGTTGCATGATACAGCTTAAGTGCTGATAAATAAATAGAGAATCAGGCGATTTAATTCATGTTCGAAAATAAAATAGCGGTTTCTCAGTGTCATTCGTCTTCCCATTCTCTTGAAATTGGATATTTATTCCAGTCTACTCCCACAACTGCTTATAGCAATGACATGGAGGGTCTACATATACACACACACCATTGACAAGAGGGTCCTATATATAGAAAGTAGTGACAGGAAGGTCTATATATACACAACAGTGACATGGAGGGTCTACATATACACACACCATTGACAAGAGGGTCCTATATATAGACAGTTGTGACAGGAAGGTCTATATATACACAACAGTGACAGAAAGGTCCAATATATAGACAGTAGTGACAGGAAGGTCTATATATACACAACAGTGACAGAAAGGTCCAATATATAGACAGTAGTGACAGGAAGGTCTATATATACACAACAGTGACAGAAAGGTCCAATGTATAGACAGCAGTGACAGGAAGGTCTAATATATACACAGCAGTGACAGGAAGGTCCAATATATACACAGTAATATCCATGTCACTGTTAGATATATATATATAGAAACTCCCTATTACTGTTGTGTATATATAGGACCTTCCTGTCAATTGTATGTATATATAGGACCCTATTACTGTTGCGTATATAGGACCTTCCTGTCACTGCTGTCTATATATTGGACCTCCCTGTCACTGCTGTCTACATATTGCACCTTCCTGCCACTGTTGTGTATATGTAGAACCTCCATGTCACTGTTGTGTATATATAGGACCTTCCTGTCACTGCTGTGTATATATTAGACCTTCCTGTCACTGCTGCGTATATATTGGACCTTCCTGTCACTTCTGTCTATATATTGGACCTTTCTGTCACTGTTGTGTATATATAGACCTTCCTGTCAGTTGTATGTATATATAGGACCCTATTACTGTTGTGTATATAGGATCTTCCTGTCACTACTGTCTATATATTGCACCTTCCTGCCACTGTTGTGTATATGTAGCACTTCCATGTCACTGTTGTGTATATATTGGACCTTCCTGTCACTGCTGTGTATATATTAGACCTTCCTGTCACTGCTGTCTATATATTGGACCTTCCTGTCACTGTTGTGTATATGTGGAACCTCCATGTCACTACTGTGTATATATTGGACCTTCCTGTCACTGTATATATACACAACAGTAATAGGGAGTTTCTACATATGCGCAACAAGAAACCAGACTCATTGAATACCTCACAAAGGGCATACCTCTATTTGTTAAGAAGAGATGAATTTTCTGAGGATACCTCATTCACTAAGACAGTTGGCATTTGTAAAACTCTCTTGATACGTCTCGAGATTTCGAACTTCTGAAACATTGTCTCCTCATATTTATGGTGTTAACAAGCCTTGTCTATATTTTACTGTAAACTTGTCTGTAATAAGACTAGAGTTATATTTACTCTGAAGAAAAGTCCTTCTCTAACACCAAAGCAAGATTATTATCGACCAAACGTGTAACACGCAATTGCAAAGGATAATTAACAAATAAATCATAAAACTTACAATAACAAAACAAATAGTACTGACGTGTCAGTACGTGACACCACATAAAACTTACAATATCAAAACAAATAGTACTGAGGTGTCAGTGCGTGACACCACATAAAACTTACAATAACAAAACAAATAGTACTGACGTGTCAGTACGTGACACCACATAAAACTTACAATAACAAAACAAATAGTACTGACGTGTCAGTACGTGACACCATTCTTTCACAGGCTGTGGAGTCTATTCAGTTACTTGGGAAATAATATGGAACTGGAGTTAAAATGATTCATAAGGCTTCTCTATTGGTTAAGACCGTGGAACTGATCTCTCAGATTTTCTAAATGTAGTTGAGATGGTTGCAGTTATTTAGTGTAATGTTTCGAGAAACTTAATTGTGGTGATAAAGAGTTAAACTGCAACGGAATAGATGAGAAAAACACCAGTTTCAGAATTAATCTAGCGAAACATTACACACGAGGACTTTCAAATTATCAAGAGGGTATGTAATGAAACAGAGTTAAGTCTCAGATCTAAGGTCGAGCTAATTGGAAAAAAAATGATAGCATGGTTTTAGAAAAGAATTTTCATTTCGTGTCGATTTTGTGACGAACGAGATAATTTCAAATGGTGGTTTGTTGCGACCTGCAGATTGCGAGTCGAGCTCCCTAACCACCTGGCCATGCCGGGCACAACTTCAAATAAGCATACTAAAAGAAACCATGAAAAGACTTACTTTACATGGAATGTGATTTGCTGATTCAGCATAACATGAAAAGACTTACTTTACATGGAATGTGATTTGCTGATTCAGCATAACATGGAAAGACTTACTTTACATTGAATGTGATTTGCTGATTCAGCATAACATGAAAAGACTTACTTTACATGGAATGTGATTTGCTGATTTAGCATGACATGGAAAGTATTAAGTTTAGACTATTAAAACTTTCCACAGAGGAAAAAAAAAAGAATGATACACACACACACACATATATTACACGACAAAATGAATCATGGCATTTTAAAAAATGTTTTAAGTTGTTTTATATGCCCAGAATAAGTTTTGATGGTTTGTAACGGAATGGACCAATAATGAAAGATGGCCAGAATACACAGAAATAAGACAATAAAAGTTGGTTTTCTTTATAGTTATTCATGCTTTTTTTCTCCAATGCATTTTGATATTTATAGTGAAAGGGTCGAAAAACACAAACTACTGATAGACAGTACAGTTTACAATCTGGTCAAATTCTCTTAAAATTTATGTAACTATTCTTGACACTTTACGCAGTATCATTGAAATTCACTGCCGGAAGTAAGCCCACGTGTATTCTATTGTGTGTCTTGTTTGTTTGTTTTGAATTTCGCGCTAAGCTACACGAGGGCTATCTGCGCTAGCCGTCCCTAATGTAGCAGTGTAAGACTAGAGGGAAGGCAGCTAGTCATCACCACCCACCGCCAACTCTTGGGCTACTCTTTTACCAACGAATAGTGGGATTGACCGTAACATTATAATGCCCCCATGGCTGAAAGGGCCAACATGTTTGGTGTGACGGGGTTCGAACCCGCGACCCTCAGATTGCGAGTCGAGCGCCTTAACCACCTGGCCATGCCGGGCCTATCTTCTATTGAGAATGAATGTATGGTTCCAGCCACATTGTAAACAGTACTTTCAATTAAAACGGGCGGCGAAACATTTTGTAAAACGGCCGGGATAAAAGTTGTTATAAATAAACTACTGCTGATAAAACAATTTAGGCTAAAAGTATTAGTGATAAATCAACATGGCTAAATTAAGAATTACTGCTATACCATTGTACTTTAATCATAAAGGTGGCGAATTGCGTACCCTTATAAAGAACGATAAAGAACAACTCCAGTGAATCTGTGTCAAAGAGAACTAAAGAGAACGTATCTTGCGCGTGAACGCGTTTTTTCATTAATTGTAAGTTTAGAAGAATAACTAATACTGAATGTTTTTAACACGACAAAGTGTGATGCGATTCTATAAAAAATTAAGAAATCGATATGTTAAACCAAAACTAGTTCTGAAGAACTGGTTAAAATACTATATGGTTGAAGTCTTACGAGTTAGTAGATCCGTTTACGTTTATACATTACAAGGAAATTTTGCTTAAAATGCTACCATAACGTTTACGTTTAGTAAGGCTAACCTTATCTGTTTTATGTCTGTTTATATTTTAAAGGCTAATCTTTACCTTATTTCTCTTTATACCTGTTTATGTTCTGTAAAGCTAAACTGCATGCTTGTTATTTTTATATCTATATGTAATTTTTAAGGCTAAACGTTGTCTTAGCTATTTTTATATCTGTTTATATTTTTAAGGCTAAACGTTGTCTTAGCTGTTTTATATCTGTTTATATTTTTAAGGCTAACCTGTATCTTTTCTCTTTTTATGCCTTTCTTGTAAGACTCAAATGAAAATTTTCTGTTTTTCTACTTGTTTATACTTAGCAAGGCTGAGCCTTGTATTACATGCTAGAATAACTGTTTGTGCCTGATGTGGCTTGGTCATTAGGGCTCTCGACTCACACTCTGCAAGTCGCGGGATCAATACCCGGCCCCAAACATACTCGTCATTTCAGTCGTGGTAGCATTATAATGTGACTTCAATTTCAATATTCTTTGGTAGAATAGCCCAAAGCTAGCGGTAGGTACTGCCGGCCGGTTGCTTTCCTTTGGTCAGCAGTTCAAAAATATGGACAGCGGCAAATAGCCTTAGTAGCCTTGCCATAAAATAACAAACAAAATATAACTGTTTGATGTTTATAATGCTAACTTTCTTAAATGTTATAATTCTAGCATAAAAAAATCACAAGATGAGCAATTAAAATAAAAAAGTCTCATGTGTAACATTTATACACATTCTTAATACTTGCATTACGTTTGTTTGTACATAAAATTATATATTGTATTACGATAACGGTTTACACATTCTATAAGATAAATTTTCCGCTACGTACATAATACAAATGTGTGTACACTTAATACAATCAATATGCATATTTTTATAAGCTTTATAAGTCATCTGGGAATGAACAAGACTGAATCCTTCTATTCAAATATCATAAAGTTATTGTATTTTGGCACTTGTGTATAAAGTTAAAATCATAAATAATATTCAACGTTAAAACTGGTACACAACTAGAAACATTTTATTTAAGCCTATCTTTTTGAAGGCCATAGAAAGGCCTAAATAAAATGTTTTTAATTGTGTACCAGTTTTAACGTTGAATACTGTTTATGATTTTATCATAAAGTTCACTGACAAATTATCAGTTCCACTATGATGATTGTAATTCGATGATATTCATGGCACAGCTGAGCCAAGACTAAAAATGATATAAGTTTTATAGTAAAGTGTTTTGACAGTCTCACGATATTTTCTACTTCAGCTTTTGTTTTTGCGTGCGTGTTTGTGTTGATATGTCGATTTATACAACGAGAAACACTTTGAAATAAATACTGAAATTCTGCACTCGTATAATTAAATGGCGTACCTAAGAGAAGTAACTTGATTGTTTTCTTGTACTGCCTCATCCATTTTATTATCTGTTTGTCCAGTTCCTTACTAACTTGGCGGTTGGGATCGTTTGGCTGGAAACAGTTCATGTTCTAGCAACTGAAAATGAAAGAATAAAAATGAGACAGTCAGGTAATTATGTTACTTGAAGCCTCCTTTAACTCGTATATAGAATATTCAAAGTTACTCGAAGGTGTGGTAGTAAAAACTCTTTATCCGCCATTGACGTTAAAACACCTGTATGTCACTAACATTCATGCCGCTTTATTTATTTTAACCACAATTCTTACATATTTAAATGGATTTCAATTTCTGTAACTTAATAAAGTGGTAATTACATTCAGTTAATAAAAAACTACAACATTGCTTTATATATTTTACTAAGTTTCGTGTTTAGAATGCATTATAATAATTAAAAAAGGTATTTTAATAGATTTGAAGTTGGTTTTGTTATTAAGCATAAAACTACATAATAAGCTATCTGTACTGCGCCCACCAGGAGTCGAGCACCGAATTTTAGCGTTACAAGTCGCCAATTTTGACACTGAGCCACTGGGGGAGGGGGGATAGATTTGAAGCACCGGAGCTACTGAGATTGTGAACTATAGATTAGGTTTCAACATGATGCTCACGTAACCTGCAAGTCCGTGTGTTGCCTAATGATTAATGATCTCGGATTGCGAATCCGATGATTCATGGTTTGTGTCCTGTTGCTGCAAAAAACGACTTCCACATTTTAAAGCCGTGGGAACGCTACGAGTGATAGTTAAATCACACTTTTCGGTCAGACAAAAAATAGCCCCAAAGTTGGCGGCGGCTGCTGTTTAGTAGTTATCTGCCTTCTCTCTCTAGTCTATCAGTTCAAGTTAAGGACGTCTATGCACAGATACACAATGTGTAGCTTCAGTGAAGCAACTAAAAGAAAGAAACAAACAAATGCTGTAATCACATTCCGTACTATATCTTATGTTTGGAACCTCTACGACGTTTATCAGTCACGTTCTCATGCCAGTCTAACTATCTATTTAAGTTTTCAGTCCTTTCTACCTAGATTAACATTGGGTTTACTAATATGTTTTGGGTGAAAGAGTAAATGTTACGTTTTGAAGACTGTCTTAAAACTAGGGGATTTGTTTTTTCTGTGGAAGTAGCGGGCAGAAAATATGGTTGTAATTTTCATAGTAAGTGATATACATATTATTGCGTCAGCGAGTCACATGACTACAGTGACGCA